GGTCACCTCGGAGCCTCCTCTTCTCCAGACTGAACAGCCCCAACTCCCTCAGTCTGTCCTCACAGCAGAGCTGCTCCAGCCCTCGGATCATTCTCGTGGCTCTTCTCTGGACATGCTCCAGCAGGTCCACGTCTCTCTTGTACTGGGGGCTCCAGAACTGGCTGCAGTGCTCCAGGTGGGGTCTCTAAGCTGCATTTAATTGAAATTTTGGAGAGGCCCAGGAAACTCCTCTACAGTGAGCTACTCCAGACCACATCAGCTCTTAAAAGCAGCCTCCCTCCTCGCTCCAGGAGTAACCCTGCCCAACCTGCTCTGTCCTAGGCACGGTGCTGGTGATGGTCTACTTCATCCTCCTGGCTGTGTACTTCTTCGCCCCATCGCCCAGTGGTTGCTGAGGTTTGGACTCTTGCTTTCTCCGACCTTCTCGTTGGGTTCAGTGCCCATCAAGACGTTCTCTGGTGTCTCAGGGACTGGGCCAGGCTGGTTCTGGTCTGGATGCCTCGTTTGCTGGAGCTCCTGCTGCTGCCTGGCTCCCCTGGTGGGGTGTCAACAGAGCTTCAGCGACGGGAAGGGTGGTGCCAACGGAAGCAACTCCTGACCCCAGAAGGAGCCTCAACACCAGAGCACTTCCCAGAGGTATCTCCAGCCCACGTTTGTGTGGCTGGAAGGAAAATGGTCCCTCGTGGAGGGGTCCTGAAGGGGGTTTGTGTGGTCTGAAGGACACAGCCCCTCCCTCGGGATGGGAGGAGGTGCCTGAGAAGAGCTTCTCGCCCTTCCAGGCGGTGAGTGGTCCCCAGCCTGGGGGGGACTCGGGTCTGGGGATCACAGAGGGCTTCTTGGTGGTACTAGAAATGCACCAAAAGGTATTTTTTTCAGCTGTTTTGTCATTAAAGCAGTTTTGTACAAATCAGAACCAAGCTGGTGTCCCCTTCACCAAGCCCTGGGTCACCGGGCTTGGCCCCTCTGTGCCCACCACCCAGGCCAGTGCTGGGCTTGGGGTGAGGGCTGCTTGGTGCCCACCAAGGCTGCTTGAGCAGGACAGGGCTCAGTGTCCCCTCACAAACGTGGCTGGTGTGACCCTGGGCACCCTGCTGGGGGTGAGCTGCTGGAGCAGGGGGTGGGATGAGGTGATCCCCAGAGGTCCCTTCCAACCCCCCTACCTGTCACTGTCCTTGCTCAGAGGTTTTGACCAGGCTCCCCAGAAGGGTTGGGGTGCTGTGAGAAGATGGGACGTGCTGGGGCCTGGCTCACCTCCAGCAGGTGAGGTGAGAGGACACAGCAGTGGCCTGGGCTGGTTGATTGTCAGAGCTTCCAAAAGACAATCACTCAGCTCCACAGGCACTGCAGCTCCTGTCCCCTCCTCCCTCCTCACCCCACGGGGACAAACCAGCACAAACCCCAGTGCCTGCTGGGCTCCAAAAGGTCTGGTAGCTGATGGAGAACCAGGACTAGACTTTATCCAGCCTGGAGTAAGGTGGGCAGCTCCTCGTTAGCTGTTAATGATGCTGTTTGAACTACTTTTTGAAGGTTTTTTTGATGTTTGGGGAGGTTCTTGGGTGAGTGCCTGGAGTTGGCTGATGGCAGATGAGCTTGATGGCACAGGGCAGTGAGAGATGGAAAAGGAGCAGGGTGGGAGGGTGGAAGATGTAGGAGAACCCCCTTGGAGCCATCATCTGACCTGAGGCTATGCAGAAAACATCTACCCTGGAGTGAGGGAGGCTTGGGACTTCTGGAGCCCAGCAGGAGCCACTGGTGGCTGCAAGGATGCCCTGAAGAGGTCCCACACTGCCTCGAGCTGCTCTGCTTGGTGCTGGGAGCCACAGGTAAGTTGTGGGGTGGGGGCAGAGGGGCTTGTCCTCCAAAACCCTTGTTCTGAGATGGCTTTCTCTGTCTTGGTGTGTCCCATCCTCATCCTGGGTGGCATCTGGATGTTCTCAACTCCTCACCCTCCCCTGGTGGCTGCAGCTGCTGGATCCCTTCCCTGTCCTTCAGGGAGCTGCCCTGGCAGAGGCAGGACTCCTCTGTTGCTTCTGAGGGTGGTGTTAGGCAGAGGGGGTTAATTTGCCCTCAGCAAGGAGGAACTAGTCCTCGGGCTGGAGGTGAAGACCAGCAGGAGGTGGAACAAGGCCTAGAGCCAGGTAGCCTCCAAACCACATCCCAGAGCGAGGCCTCTGCCACCCTGAGCAGCTTTTGGCAGTCACACTCAACGTGCAGGAGACCAGGAGCAACCAGAGCCTCCAAAGGGAGCTGGACAGTGCTTAAAACAACTTATTCTTCCTAGGATGAGCAGCAGAGAAGCCTCCAAGATCTCGTGCCCATGGTGCAGCAGCTAGCCCAGGTTACTGGGAGGGGAGAGAGGCCCCTGGACTCCCAGCAGTGGATGATGCTCATATCTGCTTCCATCAGCAAAAGCAAGTCCCTGGTCTTCTACTCTTTGCTTCTGTATGGTCCTGGGGGGGTTGGAGGTGTGAAGCCAGCTCCAGGCTGTTGGCAGAAGCCCCAAGCAGGCTCTGAGCTTGCCCCAAGAGGCTTTGGATCCTTGCCTTGGGGTGCCCCAGCAGTGGCTTGGTGGGTCACAGGGCTGTGTTGTCCTGCCTGGGTGGCTGAACGTGCTCTGTGCCATGGATGGAGCTGGGCTGAGGCCAGATGTGTCCCAGAACAACACCCACCATCATCATCCTCCCCGGGTGTGGATCAGGGAGGGAGCTTCTGGCTGTGCCCACAAGGCTGCCAGAGCAGGGCAGACATCACAGCTTAAGGAAGCTGCTTGATCAGAGCTCCAGGCTCAGATGCTTTGGGCTTTGGTGGGAGATGCTCTTTGGAGGAGATAAGAACCAACATGGTTATGACCAGGCTGTGGCAGGACAAAGTTCCCTGCAGCACTGGAGACCAGGAGGCAAAGATGAAGTGCAGCTCTTCAGCCTTTGCAAGAGGTGAGAGCTACTGAGTTCAGGCCAGAAGAAGGAGCAGGACAAAGGACCTTTGGCTCAACATGGCCCTGCAGAAGATGCCACCAGAAGCCAGGGGCAGCACAGGTAACTCCTCCCCAGCAGGGTCTGGGGTCAGCTCCTGAGCCAGGAGTGGTGGGATGCTGCAGCCAGGGAGCCTTGAAAAGGGTTGGAATGGGATGATAATTCTCCAGGAGCAAAGGTTGTCTGTCCCCCAGGCTCTTAGCTAGATGAAGACATCAGAGAAGGCTCCAGCTATGATGCCCAACCTTGATTTTTCTAGACCTTGGAGGGGCAAAAGGAGCAACTGAGGCTCCAGCAGCAGGGAAAAAATGTCCTCCCAAGAAGAGGGGACACTTAATGTTGGGTGAGTGGCAAGACTCCACCTGAGCAGGGAGTGGGAGCTCCTGAGGAGGGGAAACAGCAACTCCAGCAGCCAGTGCTGTTCAGATTAACAACACCAAGACAGTGCTGTGGTTTATTTAAATGTAAATGCAATCTCTTTTAAAAAAAAAAACCCAAACCACCCCCCCAAGTCTAACCCTGGCCTTTGCTGATGGAAGGGACTGGGAAAAGCTGAGTTAAAAATTAAAAATAAAAAAAAAAGGCACTTAAAAAAAGGGTTTTCAGCTGAAAAAGACTTTACACAAACCTGCTGCCAGCCCTGGGGAGCTGCTCAGAGTCTGATGGCCACTTAGATGTGGTCTTAAGAATGAGTTTCACAGTATATGAAGTGAAGCAGGGCAAAACAAGACAGACAGAGATGTTGTGCCTGGGCAGAGACACTGCTGCTCCCAGCAAGAGGGAGAGATCTTCCCTCTCCCCTGTTTGTTTTTTTCATGCTGTATTTCCTGGGCTGAGAGCTCCATGAGCTTCCAAGGACCTAGTAGGGTAAAACAAGACAGACAGAGAGATGTTGTGCCTGGGCAGAGACACTGCTGCTCCCAGCAAGAGGGAGAGACCTTCCCTCTCCCCTGTTTGTTTTTTTTCATGCTGTATTTCCTGGGCTGAGAGCTCCATGAGCTTCCAAGGACCTACCTTAAAAACCACAACACAGGAAAAACATCCCTCACCCCCAGAGGAACATGAAGTGAACTAGAAAAAGGCCAAGGGGTGGGAGAAGGGAAACCAAAAAGCTTCACAGGTAGGGGTTAGAGGCAGAGGCTGATGCCCCAAGGTGTGAGTGGCTCCCAGCCACATGCTGCAGGTTCAAAGCCCCCTCTGAGATCTACGGGCTCAGTTTTGGCTGTTCAGAGTGCGACGGGAGCAGGAAGGGTTAAAAAGAAACTCAGCACCCCCTTTTTTTTCCCCTCCCCACCCCGAGTAAACTACACAGTAGTCCATTCAGTGGCAACTTTTACCCAGTCTTCCAAGCCAACCTTTCAATATGAAAAGGTGAGGGACACAGACACAGCAAGGGGAGGGTTCAAACCGCTGCGGGGACAAAGCTGCGACGTTCCAGCCGTCTTCCAAAAGCTCTGAGAGCTGGGAACATGCCCGTGAAAAACCACATGCAAAGCCTTGGAGGGGGAGGAGGAGGAGCTGGATGGACAGGGGGAGGGCTGAGCTGGGCCTGAGGAAGGGGGAGGGTAAATCAACTTCAAAGTAAGAAGGAGAGCGTTACCCAAAAGCGAGGGAGCCGGGCGGCCGCTGAGCTGTGGAACATCCTCTGCTTGCTCCAGCTTGGGAGGACACCACGGGGCTGCACCCTGGGTGTCAACGTGGCCTCAGCTACTCCCAAAGCTTCCCCCACCCTCCCTGGAGTAAGCCAGGAGCAGGTGCTGCTGCCAGGAGGAGGGCTGGGGGTGCTGGAGCAGTCCCAGGGCGTTCTCCGTTCACGGCGTCGTTTCCAGAGCCATAAATAAAAAGTGGATTTCTTTTTTTTCTTTTTTTAAATCAACTTCAAAGTAAGAACTTCTAGAAAGGCATCGATGGGTTTGCTGAGTAAGGCGTTGAGCGGGTTCCTCCACGTTCTGCACGAGACCATCCATGGTATCCATAAATAGGGGGGGGGAGGGAGCTTCTCAGAGGGAGAGGGTCGGGGAGAGGGTCTCATTTTAGTCGCTCGGCGAGTCCCTGCGTCAGTCCCAGGTGCAAAAGCTGAGAGCTGGAGAGAGTTGCTAGGTGAGGGAAATATTCCAGGAGCTTCTCCCAAGACAGTTCCAGCAGGCTGGGGACCACCAGCCACATTTTAAAGAGGGAGCCAGTCCGTTTGTTTTCGTGGATGTTGACCACCCCTCCGTGAACGTACATGCAGCCGGCCTGGATGGGAAAAGGGGGACAAGGGGCTTAGAGGGGGCACAGCCCAAACTGGCATGTTAAAAGGTGCTGAGGAGCAACACAGCTCCACAGGGAAACCAAGATTTGACTGGCCAGAGTCCCAGCTGGTCAGAGTGAGGTTCCTCTCACACACCTTTAGGTGTTGGTGACAGAAGTGTCACAGCCTGAGCTGTGGGTCTGAGCAGTGCTGAGCAAGAGCTAAAGGGTGGGGACAAGAGGCTGGGGCCAGACTCTGCTCAGTGGTGCCCAGCCACAGGCCAAGGGGCAACGGGCACCAACTGGAACCCAGGAGGTGCCACCTGAGCAGGAGGAGAAACTTCTTTGGTGGGAGGGTGGCCAAGCCTGGAGCAGCTGCCCAGAGAGGCTGTGGAGTCTCCTGCTCTGGAGAGATCCCAAACGTGGCTGGTGTGACCCTGGGCACCCTGCTGGGGGTGAGCTGCTGGAGCAGGGGTGGGATGAGGTGATCTCCAGAGGTCCTTTCTCCACAGGGCTGCTCTCCAGCCCTTCACCCCCAGCCTGGGTTGAAGGTTCTGATCTTCCAAACCAGGCTCTTCTCAGTAGGCTAAAACCAGTTTACCTGGGGAATTATTTATGCTTTTTCCTTTCCTTTTGCAAACAGTAATTGCTGTTCACACATGGATTACTCTTAGCAGATGCCAGAGTTTAAAAGCTACAGCTCAGCATCACTGCATTCAGAAAGGAGAACACACAGAGTGCAGCCACTCCTCCAAGAGCAGCAGGACTGAAAGGAGTCAACAGTGACCTCACACCAGCCCTCCCTAAAGCAGAGCTGAATCCTCTCTGAAGATGCTGCATGCAGGAGAGCTCAGCTCCATGGCTTCAGGTCCATTTGCAGCCCCCACACACACGTCAGAGTGCCTGGACAAACAGCTTGGCCTTCAGGAGTGAGTCACTTACTGGTGTGACTGCAGCACAGTGGAAATACACGGGTTCTGGCATGGCAGCTGGGAGCCTGAGCCACTGGAAAGTCTGCAGGTTCAGCTTCCACACGTCCCCCAGGATCACCTCTCCATTGTAGCCTCCACAAACGAACACGTCTGGAAGAGAGGAACCCCACAGTGCTCCCAGGTCACCTTCCCCCAGCAGCTGCACAACAGGCCCTGCCCCAGGTCACCCACCCCCCTGGCACAGCAGCTTCCTGAACCTCAGCACAGGCTCCTGGAGCCACCCAGGTCAGGCCCAGCACATTGCTCAGACCCACGAGGTGCTTACAGAGTCACCACAGGGGTTGGGTGGGAAGGGACCTTTCAAAATCATCCAGTCCAACCC